AGAAAAAAAAAAAGACTTTATTCAACAATTCTTCTCCCCCGAGTTACCGTCTTCCGCCATTTTAGAGAGTATCACAATGCATACGCATGCTTTCCCCTAAGTGTAAACAACGCTGATGACGTCGATTACGTTTTTGGGTACTCTCCAAAATGGCGGAAGACGTAACTCGGGGGAGAAGAATTGTTAAATAAATTGTTATTTTTGTTTTCTTTGCGCTCAAAAAGTATTCTCGTAGCTTCGCAAAACTGAAGTTGAGCCACTGATGTCACATGGACTGTTTTACAGATGTCCTTACTACGTTTCTGGACCTGGGAACATTACAGTTGCGTTGCTGTCTATGCAGGCTCTGAGAGCTCTAACATTTCAACAAAAATATCTTAATTTGTGTTCCGAAGATGAACAAAGGTCTTACGGGTTCGGAACGACATGAGGGTGAGTAATTAATGACAGAATTTTCATTTTGGGGTGAACTAACCCTTTAACTTCTTGCTGAATAAAATCAATATCACGTGCAGTTGGGCAGATATTTGGGAAAATCAACGCATGTGCCCGTGTAATATTCCTAAACTATATGATATAAGACAAAAAAATTCTTCAATTTTTTTCCCTCATTTCTTGAATTTTAAGGGCGCATAACTGCATTCTCATAGGCTATATCACGCAGTCAGTCGTCTTCTGCATCATCTTTTTCAGCAACTGCATGGATGACATACAGTTCTGGGCTGGGATGGGGTGCATTAAATGTGTTAATTTTAACACGTTATTTTTTTCCATTCATTTTCTATTTTCCATCAAATGAACACATTAAATCCACTGCCCTAATGTTAACATTTTTCAAAACATCTCTTTTTGTGTTCCACCAAAGAAAGGAAGTGACACAGGTTTGGAATGACACGTCGGTGATTAAATGGTGACAGAATTTTCATTTGTCCTGAAGTAAAACTTACTGAAAAGTCTGAATCCTCTGCTCTCAGATGGTCAGCAATGTACTGAACTCCTTCCAAGGCTTTAAGCAGGGACTGCGACAGATTGCTCCCCGGCTGCGCTGCGTTCAGATCAGTAGTGCTGTCATTGTTAGAGCTGAAGATCTGGGCGTTGGGCAAGTTATGTCTGGTACACCTCCCGGCTTCCTCGTGATCAAGCTTCTGAGACCCCTCAGATGTAAGACAGTGTTGACAACTCCCTGCTCCCAGAATGCTCTCTTTGGCTTCGATGAAGACGTTCTCAGCACTCCGGCCTTGGATATCACAGTCTGTAAACTCAGCTCCTTCCTGCGGTATGGTGTGTAGCAGAGTACCAAGGATAGTATCTGGAAATAAAGTTGTGCTTGAGGCAAAGATGCTGTTCGTGAATGCGCATGTATAACCGAGGGCCAGCGTTTGAGGTGTTTGCGACGTTTCCTCTTGCAGGATGGAATACTGGCTGCTGGGAGAACTGCAGAAAAGTATGGGTTTGGGGGAAGAGTCCAGCTGAATTTGATCCAACTGGGCAACCGAGGTCACGTCCAAATGGGGGTGCGGACTTTGCGGAGAAATATCCAGAATGTTGTTCCGCAGAAACATGGACTGTGACGCCATTGGCTTGTGCATCATCTCGATCAGTTTCCCACAGTTCCTCTTACCTGAGGCAGGCGGACGTTTCATGAACAGGTAACGGGGCACCAGGTGTAGAAACACCTGGCGGACCCAGTGTGGCATGCTGTGCGTGCGGGACGAACGGTGGTGGACGTTGAGCACAAACACAGTGATGATGATGGAGAGAGTGACGAAGATCATGGTGAAGAGGAGGTACTCGCCAATGAGCGGGATGACTAGCGAGGTTGAGGGAATAATTTCCGTGATTAGCAGGAGGAAAACGGTCAGAGAGAGGAGGACGGAGATGCACAGCGTGATTTTCTCCGCACACTCTGAGGGAAGGTAGAAGACCAGCACCGTCAGGCAGGATATAAGCAGGCAGGGGATGATTAGATTGATGGTGTAGAACAGAGGCAGACGTCTGATGATGAAGGAGTAGGTGATATCTGGGTAGATTTCCGTACAGCACTCGTACTTCTTGATGTTGTAAGTGCCGACGGCATTTACTATGACCCACTCCCCGCTTTCCCAGTAGTCCATCTGGTCTACGTCACTGGCCATGCTGACCAGGTCGATCTTGGCCTGATCGTACGTCCAAGAGCCGAATTTCATCTTGCAGTTTTGCTGGTCAAAGGGAAAGAAGGTGACATCGATGCTGCAGGAGCTTTTATAAATGGCAGGAGGTTTCCATTTGATCCTGCCGTTGTAAAACACCTGGGCTTTAGTCAAGTGAGTCACCGCAAAGTCTCCGTCCGCACTGCAGATTAAACACAAAACTGTCAGACAGAACCTGCAATAAAATATCGGTGGAGCAATGTCAAAGACAGCTTTAGTGGTGTCAGTGTACATCACAGTGAGCCAAACCATCAATAAGCCGTGACGTCTTTGACAATTGTTTAACCATTCAACTTTCAGAACTTTCTTCCTAATAGAGCAAATATATTGGATCAAGATAATTTTAGAGCATTTGTAATTGCTATAGCTTCAATATTCACTAAAAATGCAAATGTGCAATCAGAGCTCATGCAGATGAACAGTTCGACCAAAAATTCTGTCATTGTTTGTATCAAGTTTCTCAACAATGCAAGTTAATATTATCACATCATTGGACTAAAACCTTCTGACTTCACTCACACAGCATATTACAACTCCCCAAAAAGCATGATATTTTTTTCCTCCCACTTTGTTACACTTGTGATGTTCCTGTTCAAAAATGACTGGCCTACAAAAAAAATTGCTTAGAAATTTCTTGTTATGCTATATCATTTTCAAATATAATATTGAATTCAATCTTTTTTATCAAATTGTTTTCTTTCAGCTAGCACAGGATTGGTATTTCATTTTGGAACTGATTGATCACATAGGCCTGATTGATCTGAGCTTATGAACCTCAGTTTATAATTATCCATTAAAAATTATTAAATTATTTGTGTCTGTGTGTTGATTTACTAGCAATCTTTAAAAAGCCGAAAAGGATTTTCAGCACATCATTTAATAAATAAACAAACAAACATACATACAGTCTAAATTATACGGTTAAATTATCTTTAACTACACGCCATATGAACAACCATTCAGTAATGATTGTAATTTGGTTAATAATTTAATTTTCACGTGACAGTACGTCAATGAACGTAACGCTAACTTTGTTGAAGTGCGTCAGATGTTTGTTGAGTCATTTCCGAGAACGACTCTTCAGACTGATTCAATCTGCTAACTACAGTCGTGGCCAAAAGTTTTGGCAGTGACATAAATTTTGTGTTTTGCAAAGTTTGCTGCTTAAGCTGTTGTGGTGTTCATTCACATTGTTTCTAGATTATTGTGTAGAGTGATCAGATGCATTTTAAATAATTGCTAAAATCTTCATTGGCCAAAAAATTAACTTTTCACAAAAACAAAACAAAAAAAATTTCACTGTTTTTTGATCCTGACACAAAATGACCAGATAACATTAAAGGAGTCATATGATGTTGCGCACATGTGAAAGTGTTTGTGTATTTGGTGTAATGAAATGTGTTTATGCGGTTTAAGGTTAAAAAAACACATTATTTTCCACATACTGTACATTATTGTTTCTCCTCTATGCCCCGCCTTTCTGAAACACGTCGATTTTTACAAAGCTCATCGGTCTGAAAAGCGAGGTGTGATCTGATTGGCCAGCTATCCAGTGCGTTGTGATTGGCAGCCGGCAGATTCGACGAAGGAGCGTCCGGCGGGCTTGCGGCAACCACATGTGATGACCCCGGGCTGTGCATTTTCCAGCATGATGGAGCACCATGTCACAAAGCAAGAGTGATAAAGAAGTGGCTCGAAGATCATTACATTGAAATTTTGGATCTGTGGCCAGGCAACTCCCCGGATCTCAATCCCAGAGAGAACCTGTGGTCAGTCCTCAAAAGGCGAGTGGACAAGCAGAAGCCCACAAATTGTGATCAACTCCGAGAACTAATATGGCAAGAATGGATCGCCATCAGTCAGGATTTGGCCCAGAAGCTAATATCCAGCATGCCAGAGCGAATTGCAGAGGTTATGAAGAACAAGGGTCAACACTGTAAATGTTGACTTGTTATATTTTTTGCCATTAAAAGCCTTTAAAACTTATGATATGCCTATCATTGTTTTTCAGTACACCATAGAAACATGTGGAAAAATAATCTACAAATACTGAAGCAGCAAACTTTGCAAAACACAAAATTGATGTCACTGCCAAAATATTTCATTTACTGCAAAACACTGACACAATGCACCTTTATCTGAACTGCCTGTAATTTCATTCACTTCAACCGGGTATCTTATAAAGGCAGCACAGATCAATACTCCTATCAACCCTCACAGTCTAATTCCCATGTTTTCTAGTTATCACTACATGAACAGAAGACATACAGAATTAAGATTAAAGGGGGATTAAAGAGTACAAATACTATGCTCCCGTTTCCTCTGTAGAAGCACAACATCACCCTGAGGAAAAGAGTTAACCGTTAACAGGTACCCAAAGTGCAGTTTGCCAAACAGAACAGCGTGAACACCTTACAATGCTGGAACTGCAGGAGGTTAACAGTGTTTGAAGATGTAGATTTTTAAGAAATGGATTTGGCTGAATTCCGGATTGTTAAAAGCCTTACGCACTTGTTATAGAGCACGATATCTGGTCTCCAGATGATCTCGGAGGGGATCCTGATGGAGGTGACATTCTCATACTCCTCTGGGTTCCAGCGCAGCTTATAATCGTTCCACTCCTGCAGGGAAACATGTGCGCTCATCACCGCTCACAACCAGCAGGTATGACAGGGTGGAGAGTGAAGCAACAAGAGCCCAGTTCCAATTAAAAATCTCATTAATGCCCAATTATGGGCTGTTTTTTGATGAAAACCTACCTGCTTCACCCAGACGTTTGTGGTCATCATCTGATTCTTCTCATCCTGGTTTATAATGAAACAAAATATGACATCCATGCAGAAGAGGGTAATAAGAGAGGTGGGTAACTCTACAGTGAGCCTACTTTTTTATTTTGAAAGAATAATTTTTAAAGAAAAAATAAACTTTTTTTTTTTTGCTAAAATTAAGATGTCGCTGTGCTGGAGTGCATCTGAGACTCACCACATCAATGAGCTGAGCAATGGACAGGCCAAAGTGGACCAGAACCACATCTGAGATGTTTGCTACTGGACGAGAGAGCTTGTTGTAGTTGCTAAACAAACACTGGAGGAGTCTTTCTTCTGCATGGGCACGAGCTGGAGTGCTGGAAAACACTGGTGAGAGGATAAAAAAAGCTAAGTTTCTACAGCGCTGGTTAAATCTTCTCTACACCATGAAAATAGGATAAAAGCTGTTTCCAAAGTAATCATTTTGTAACATGCAGAACATGCTGTTTATTATTATTTAAAATAATAGTTATTTTAATTTTAGTATTATAATCAAAATTATAATTAATATTAATTATGTTATTATATATATAGTATTAATTTTATAGTATATTATTATTATAGTATATATAGTATTGACCTCCAATAAAGGTAATAAGCCGAAAGAGAGAGAGAGAGAGATAGTATTATTATTATTATTATTATAAACATTATTTTTATAGTTACATTTTTTTTTTTTGTCTTTTTGTTGTGGCAAAACAGCCCCTGAGCTGCTCTCACCCCCTCATTCACACTGCATCAATACATAAACAGGAAATCGGGTATTGTATAACTGCAGCGAATTTCTTGTAAAGTTAAACTGAAGGTCAGACTTTACCATATGCCAGCTGCAGACAGACAGAAAGAAGAAAGAAGACGCTCCACGCTGCTCTCATCTTGTCCACCTGATGTCAGATGACAGCCCACTGTGCAAGAATTTCGTCACTGGAACGAAAAACTATTTCCAGTTGCGCCAATAAAAGTCAATGAAAAGACCCGTAGATTATCTAGCCTTAAACTGATAAAAAGACCCCAAAAGTGAAAGTTGAAAACAGCCACAAAAAGTCATTCAGTGTCCAAACCTCTTGTAAAAGTGAGGGGTTCCTCAGAATGCCTCTCTAGCTGTCATTAGACTCTTTTCCCTCCCTTTTTCTCTCCTACCTTCTCTCTCTCTCTCTCTCTCTCTGTGTTTTGCTGTTTCATTCTCAGTATCTCTCCTCTCTGGCCCCTCCACCTTGCAATCTCTGCCTATTAAGCTGAGTAGATGTTATGCGCTGGAGGCTGCGCCTTATACATGAGAATGTGTCACACAGAGACAGAGAGAGGGCAGGAAGATATTGATTGAGGACAAAATCCTTAAAATGCTGAGGCTAAATGCCTTATTTAAAAGTTCTTAATATGTTTACATGAGCATGAATGGTTTTTAATTGCATTTTTCTATTAAATTTTTTTATGTTAGGCTTTAAAGAAATTTAAGATAGCAAAAATCCAGGATCAAAAGAGCAAGCAGATGTGTGTGTGAGAGAGAGAGAGAGAGAGAGAGAGAGAGAGAGAGAGAGAGAGAGAGAGGATGGAAAGTCAAAGGAAAGGAGATGTAAACAGACTGAAATATGTCTGGAAGTGATCTAGCGGTGCAGATGAGCAGTGGCAGCCAAACTCAGGATGCATTCTGCCTATTAATTACAAGAAGAGACGCTCAGCGTTTGTCCCTGATAGGACGAACCTGTGCTGTTAGACTGTGTGCTTAACATTTATTTATCCGTTAGTAATATAAATAGTTCATTCAAAAATAACATTTCTTATATTCATATATGTATATTTTGTCCCAAAACTGTTATTAATGTATTAAAATTATTATAAAAAATGATTAGAATTCTGATATAATTATTATTTAATTATAATTATTAATTATTATATATATATAATTTTAAAAATATTATAAAAGTATACAAATTATGAAGTTATTATACAAAGTCTTGCATTTATAATATATGAAAATATGTATTAATATATAATATATAATATTAGTATTTCCTCCACCTCCAAAAAATATTATTATTATTATCAAATATTATTACAATATTACATTATTATACAAATTATTACAATTACATGAAAATATATCATATTAATATATATAATTAAATGATCACATAATTTTCATGTTTCAGTAAACTAGCCCTTTAAGAAAACCATAATGCATGTCTTCTAAAGAACTAACCACCAAAAGCTGCTATTAGGTGAAGATTAGCATTTTAAAAGAGAGTAAATAAAATATTTATCCATGCTGTTTCCAATCCAGCACACACCTGCAATCCACCAAGAGCCTATCCAAGAAACTGATTAACCATCTGTCTGGAGAGGCAATAAATCAGCTATGGATGACCCACAATTTCCTTGTGAATAATACAGATATGAACTGGACATGCAGGGAAAGCTTGCAATACATTTTCACCATACATAAAACAGCCTGGAGTTGTGAAATGCTACATATGAAATGTTTTCCCCTCACAGCTGACAGCTGACTTATCGCTTTAAGACCGTGTAACCTATTTGTTTACCTACAAACACTAATTGCTGGACACAAACCAGCTGCGAAGAGCTATTTTCTGGCTGTGAACGCGTCCACGGTCATCAAAATTCATAATTTGTTTCATCAGATGCCATTTGCAAATGCCCACGGAGAATGTTGTCCTCCACGCGAATGAATTCAACTTTGAATCGCAATATCCAGACTTTCATTAAGGTGCTGCAAGAAAAGACCTGACTGAGATATCCTTTTCTCTCTCTCTCTCAGTCACACACACACACACACACACACACGCGCGCGCACGCACTTAAACCCAGACATTTAGGATCGATATCATCCTATTGAATCTGAAATTTCCACACCCTGAATGCTTATCTAATGTAACTGCTTGTAATATCATGTCAGCTTTGATCAATAGGCGGATATGACTTGAACCAGGATTACATAAGAGAGAGCAATTCAATGGTGCTTTAATAGACAGAAATATGAGTTTAATATACTGAATTGCATCATATAAAGCTAAATTCATGCCCAAGCATACAGCAACACTCATAAAGCAAGTGGAGTCCCTGAATGTCATGTTCACCTTGAACTTACTGAATTACAACTAATTGTTAATCAATACCGTGGTAGATCTATTATCCAGTCACAACACCTGTTCACATGTCAGCCCTCCGTAACTCATCATGGTTATTTCTGCATCATGGAATCCGAATTACATACAAGCAGCACATCTGAGGCCATGTATGACCTCTGACCTCAGCAGCGCTCCATACTCTCTGACTGTATGCACGAACATGTGGGTCAATGACATGACGCTCGTCTTTTGTCCTGTCTGTCAAAGGGATCTTTCAAATTCTGTCATCATTTACTCATCCATATGTTGTTCCAAACCTGTATGACTTTCTGTAATCAGTGGAACATAAAAGAAGATATTTTAAAAAATGTCATTTTAAATGAAAGTTCATTGACTGTTGTTTCATTATATAAATAAATGAATACAGGTTTGGAATGACATGATGGCAAATGATGGCAGAATTTTCATTTTTGTGTGCTTTTAATTATTCAGAATTCATTTTGATCGTTTTTTTTTTGCACGTACACTCATATATATATGTATATATACACATACACAGTGCCGTTTAAAAGTTTGAGATCAGTGAGGTTTTTAATGTTTTTAAAGAAGTTTCTTCTGCTCATCAAGGCTGCATTTATTTGATCAAAAATACAGAAAAAACATGTAATTTTGTGAAATATTATTGCAATTTATAATAACAGTTTTCTATTTTAATATACTTTAAAATATAATTTATTCCTATGAAGCAAAGCTGGATTTTCAGCATCATTACTCCAGTCTTCAGAAATGATCCTTGAGAATGATCCTTCAGAAATCATTCTAATATACTGATTTATAATCAGTGTTGGAAACAGTTGTGCTGCTTAATATTTTTTGGGACCAGTGATGCTTTTTTCAGGATTCTTTTATATATAAAAAGTTAAAAAAGGACAGTGTTTATTCAAAATAGAAATTTTGTGTTACAATATACTCTACTATTCAAAAGCTTGCGTTCAGTAAATGTTTTCTTTTTAAGAAATGTATACTTTTATTCAGCAAGGACGTGTTAAATGGATAAAAAGTGATAGTAAAGACTTGTATTGTTAGAAAAGATTTCTATTTTGAATAAATGCTGTTCTTTTTTAAAAACTTTTTATTCATCAAAGAATCATAAAAATATCACAGTTTCCAAAAAATATTAAGCAGTTTAAATACTGATAATAAATCAGCATATTAGAATGATTTCTGAAGGATCATGTGACAATGAAGCCTGGAGTAATGACTGATGAAAATTGCTGATGGCTGATAAAAAGCGCTGTGTCACAGAAATAAATTATATTTTAAAGTATATTAAAATAGGAAACCAATATTTGAAATATTTCACAATATTACTGTTTTTTCTGTATTTTGATCAAATAAATACAGCCTTGATGAGCATAAGAGACTCATATTAAAAAACATAAAACATATACTGATCCCAAACTTTTGAACGGCAGTGTATATGCAAACTCAAAATCATGTGGTGCAGCCAACATGTTGAATTGTGCAAAACAACCACAAAAGAAATCAAAACTGAAATCTATATTAAAAATAGGATCCCGGACTACCCAAAAATTTAATATTTCTGAATGTTAATTAACTATGAATTAATAAACTTATGTTTTACATCACAAGACATAAGGATGTCAATATTTGATGTTTACACCACACAGAATTTTTAAGTCATTACATTTAAATTTTCTTTAAAAATGGTGCAGTAAAGATTTTCCAGAACTATGTGAAAAGAATACATTTCTAAGATTTTGGCGCATTGTAAACTCGATTTTTCTTTCTAAACTAGATTTTCTTTATCTTGGATACTTTTTGTTTGTCATTTGTCATTGACCACACTGCACATATTCCAACTGTAGTGGTTTAAAGGAATAATACACTCAACTAAGACTTAAAATACTTGAGTGTGAAAGGCTATTTCTACAACATAAATCCAATCCTAGTCCAAATTGATTTCATGTTAAAACAGTCACTCAGTTCTCGCTGAGATGCAAATTAGTTTTTACGCTCTTGCAACACCATCTTTCCCCTTTACTTTTCATCTTTTCTCTTGCCTTGTGGGGATTAACACCAAACAAATTGATTTTTAAACACGGCTCTCCCCATGGTTCAACCTCACACACAAAGACAGTGAAGCAGATATCAGTAAATCTATATGATAACAGAGCTGCCAATCAAACGCTGCTACAAGGACTTATGTTTGAAATAATGCAAGAGCTTCTTTATAGAAATTGGCTGCCCTCTGTGATACAATCTGAAACACTCAGTATATTAATGAATAATTGTATTTGGTTGCCTTTCATTTTATTATGTATTTCATACAATACATGTGAAGCTTTAATTAATTTAATTAGAGTTTCATTATTCAGGATTTATCTTTTGATTTGATATTAATTCGTATAACTGCTGGGTCTTTTAGGTTCAGTAGATACTCTTGGATTTCATTTACACACCGATAAGTGCATAATGCATTTAAGTCCGTTTCAGCAGATTGTATTATATGCATCAGCATCACAAATGCCTTTTTATCTTTCTCCTGCATGTGATGAAAGTATGACCACCTGCTGCAATACTGATGAGGTTGTTAGTTAAGGTTCCAGTGGGACTTTTATGAAAATACATCCGTGATAATTGCAGGAATACACGATTTAAGACCTTTGGCTCGAATCTTTCAGCTGCAGACCCAAATATCAAATGAGGAGTGTCTTTCTGAAGCTTTTGGCTGTGCAGTGTGGGCTTTGGATGCTTTCCAGACCTTG